TATATCGTTCTAACATCTACTTTACATAATAGTCTCTTTGATTACGCGATCAACCGATTTTCCTACAATAACTTTTTTAATCGCATTTTCTACATCAACTCTACGATCTTTTTCTCATTTTTTTCTCGTTTTTTTTGTTTTTTGTTTTTTCTTATTTTCTCCGTTATTTATTTCCTTTCTCTCTATCTAAATAACTTATTGAACTTTTCTTATTTCCTTTTACTTTTCCATTCTCTTTTTATCTTCTCTTCGTAACAAATTTTATCTTCTTCTAAATGCGGATATAGAAAAACTATATATACATTTCGGGGAATATACATTTCGTGTCGCTTTATTTTTCTGCCGCGCAGATTTCTCGGCGCCGTGCGTCTCTGCGGAGATGCATAATGGGCGAGGTGCGTTTTCGCGATCGCCTCTGGTCGCATCCAGGGCACGTATCTTGCCTTATTGGTGCAACGCCATTGAATTGCCTTCGCTGCACAATCGCACGTCGGCTGACGCATTACGATTATGCAAGCCGTCGCTGTTTATCTCGCGCCCGCGATTTCAACCCGCGTTTCATCTTCCCTCCCCGAGCCCTTCTCTTTCCTCCGATTTCTTTTTCTTCTTTTTCTTTCTTTACTCCTCTTATTTTGTCCCGCAGGAGGTCGATCGGTCATTCTCGAGTTTCGTAATTCAATCAGAAGACTCAAGGTTCGGCTTTTCGTTTCGCGTGATTCCACGTGGATAGAAATTGAACCGAAATCTCTAAATTACTAAAATTTAAAATAAAATTAAGAGAAACGTATCTTCGTATGCTTTCGTCCAAAGATCAATATTAAATTTTTGTTTAGATTTCTTAAATGCCAAAGAATGTAAATTAACTGAAAAAACTTGTTTGGATAATTAAAATGAATTGCATGTCAACTGTGGAAATATTTATTTCTAGAATAATTCGTAGAAAAAAAATATAAATTTTAGGTATTATAAATACATCTATGCTATGATGATGATGATGATGATGATGATGAAAATGCATCTCTCGTGATATTTTATTTAAAAATAATCGATTACGGCCCAAAACATTATTAAGACACGTAATTGTTGAGGACTCATTAAATTTATGCGACTTGCAGCATCATTAATTTTTTGTTTGAGTCCGACACTTCGACGAGGTGATTTTTTTTTTCAATGAAAATTAATTAATGATCAACCACGAGGGCAGCGGGGAGGTGAAGGATCTCAACGGCGCCTCGCACTGACGTAATCGTCGTCGGCATGGTGTTCTGCGGTAACTGTGACACCATCGACTAAATATGGAGAGATAAACGGAGCGCGCACGGGACTCGTGTTAGTTTCGGGCCATTTTGCTGGTCTGTTTGTACGTTTTGAAGCCGGTTTTTAAGGCCGTCCATTCCGCGGTCTGATGAAAGTCCGCTATTAGTCTTCGGTAAATATGAAAACCGTGGGCACGTGTACGACGTCTACGAAAATGGTAGCGTAGCACGTGGCGTAACGCGGCCGGTTGTGTTTCTCTCGTTCTGTTTGCAAACACATATAGAATATATACGATAACGTACGTGGTTTTTCAATTGGCTCGAATTTACTTCTGTGACACTCTCGCGCTCGAGTAGACTTGAAAGACCTCGCTAATTGACGTAATTATCGGCGCAGCGCTTACAATTGCTTAATCACATTGGTCGATTCGTCACGTTAATAATCTCGTTATAACGCCGGATGAAATTATATGTAACGGCTATAACAACACCTCTCTCTACAGCTATCAACCTTGTTTACGTACGTGGATATTCACGTTTGAGGGATCAAAGTGCCCGTATAATCCAATGGCGGACTCGGTAGTGACTCTTACAGCCGTGTCGTATCGAGTGAACGGGGTACTTGACACCCTTATTAATCCCAAATGCAGAACGTGGAATTATCGGTGGGATGAATTAAAGTAATTCGGTGATATCTCTTAACGGGCGAATCCATTAAAAATTCAACTAGAATATTGATTATATTTTTATGCTACTCAAAATTTTAGATTATTAAAAATTAAAATTATTTAAACTGAAATTATTACAAATAGTATTTTTTCATAAAAATTTATTAAAAACTTTAATATTTAACGTGACTAGAATGTCTGTGGCTTTCTTTAATGGTGTAAAAGAAATGATACGTGAATTTTTACAGAATTTCAAGTAAACAATAAAAGTAAAATTTAACTCAAATGGAATTCAACTATGTAATTCGATAATTTTGCAGATGAGGTTGAGATCTGTTTTTATAAAATGATTTTATAAAATAGAATTTATGTAAATGTAGCGTGTAAGTGACTTGTAATTGATATTATTGTTTATAACGTGGAGAAATGATGCAATTATATAATAATATATAATAATACACATAATAATTGATTAATAATAATTATAAGAGCGATTATATATGAAATTAATTCGTGAATGAATTGTGGCGCCATGATTATGCATGAGATCAGTGCATTAATCACGATCAACACGCTTGAATTAAAAAGTATAGTGTCTTCTGTCATTATAAATCATACGTGCGACGCATGTCACGTATGGCTCTAATAATCCTATACCATCATCGTACAAGGTTTCGCGTAAATTATTACGTAGCAACGAACCGTATTTGGATAATCCGAGACGAACAAGTCAAATATATCAGAAACACAACATTTTTCTACACTTTTTGATATCAATTATTTCTCGATATTATACATTTTCTCTACATTTTCATTCACGATGTTAAAATAAAACATCCTAGGATATTCCCATTTGACTATACCTTTTGAAGATGTACTACACCTATTTTTATTTACAAATGAAAAATTAAGGTAAAAATAATAGATTATTCTAAATCGCTAAATTTAGAGTAATATGAAAAATTTCGTAGCGGAATCTGGAATCAAAAATTATTTAAACCAATAAATAAAATATATACTCTAATTAAGAAATGAAGATTGGTTAACAGTTGCATTATTTCTAACTGCGATTTGGAGTGAGTCTAATTATTCCAATAATTGTTTTCTTATTGTAAACAAATATAAAAGAATTATAAAAATAGGTGTGATACATCCTTAATTCTGACCGCGATCGCGGCCGTTCGCGCGTAACCGTGCGTCATTGAGAGCGACGCAGCATGCGCATTAAATGCAGATTGCACGGCGATAAAATCATCGGGACACATAACGCCTCTCTCGTCTCTCGCGACGCGGTTGCGGCGGCGGAGAGATACCTCGGTGCGGTTGCGGCCGCGTAATCGCAATTTCATCTCGTCGAACAGAGGTACCGACCCACGCGACCGACCTACTACGACAAGGCACGCGCCCACCGATTTTCCATGAGTAATTAATTAAACTCGCGAACCGCCGCAAATACCCGGACATACCGGCGACTCCTTTTGCGGAGTTTTTTTTCGCGGGCGCGTCGGGAACATCGAGGTGAACGATGAGCTTCGTAGCATCGTCGCGCCAAGGCTCTTATTCAAGGAAGAAACCAGAAATCTGTAGACTTCGGTCGCGGGTGCGAAGGAATTTATAATGAATTTGTGTAAATTACAAATATATTAAAAATATTTAAAATACAAATCATTTGTTACGTAATACGGCATGGTTGGAATGTGGAAATAAATCAGATCTATTACGAATATCGAAACGGATAGGCGGTACTTTTTTTTGCTAGTTTATTAAAATAATATTTGATATAATATTTGAAATATTTCTCGCATGACTGCACGTCGCCCTAGAAATTGTCAGATCTTATCTCGGCATTATATGGGACACACCCTTACTCGCCATTAACGACTTGTTTACATAACTCTCTGTCTTGAGTTGATCAATTTCCGATGCCGATTATCGCGACGGCAATTACAGGACCAAGCCCTGCATCCGATTCGCGCCGAATCGTCTCTCGTCCGCTCTTTTTAATGTCGCTTCATAATAATTAGTAATTAACTTAGCACACTATATAATTGAAGTTAATTTCACAATCTCGATGACATCATGTATCATTATTCATTATTCATTATCAATTCATTATCAACACACAAGGTTGCCTCGAAGCAAATATAAGAATACATAAAATGATAGAAACTATTATTATGTTTAAATAAATATCAGGTAAATTGAATATATGTATATTAGTTATATGTATAATATTAATTTTATTGAAAATTATATTCGCTTGCATAGATTAATATTAAATTGTTTATTGTAGAAAATCGTAGTAAAATAGTAATCATAATGATATCGTAATAATGATTCAATAATCATGAATAATAATACGTGAATTATTATCAACGCGACAATTAAATTGCCAATTAAAATTGATTGAACGAAATTTTAATTAAATAATGTTTGGATCTACGTCAAAGCGAAAGGTTTTTTCGTGCCGAGGCATGCTCCAGTTTTCTTTTTGTTTCCGTTTTGGCTATGATTTGCATTATTTTGCATGACAATGGCAGATCAGATGGAGCCTCTCTGGGAATCGCATGGCCGTCAAATAAACGAGGCTGGTTTGCGAAGAGGGTCAGGTAAGTTCAATCAAGTTTTTTATATTCGAAGATCTCACTTTGTAGAATATTTCATAAAATCTACATTGTAAAAAGCGAAGACGATTTTTTGTTACTGACAGAAATCTAGCCTCACAAAAGTGATAAAACTTGAAATTAATTTATTAGTCCATTTATTAGTCGTATCTGTTCGATATTTAAAGATCTAGATTTGTATTGTTTAAAAGTATTATGTGTATTATGAAATTGTTAAGTTGTCTTTATGACAAATAAGGAATATGTGTAAATACTTTTACTAGTATAGCTGTAGGTTTGTAAATATTATTGATACGTAACAGTGTGCGTGATTATATCTGTGTTACACTTTTGCTTTGCGTTAACTTGTATTCGTGATATTATTACAGTTAGATAATATAATATTTTATATACGTGCATGCGTGTAATATAATCCGTAGTAATATGGATCAGTAAGTATATAATATATATTTTAATTTAGCATTAAGATTATTTACGAAATGTCCTATTTGATCTTTTGACCAAATTAGGAAAGACGATTTTTTGTAAATTAAATATTTCGAGAAAAATTATACACGTTAGTCATTTATGGTATCTTTCGATTATATTTCAAAGAAAATGCTGTTCGATTCCGCGTAGATACCAGCGTTGTCCTGACCGAGGACACAGACAGCTTTAAGATCGGAGATCGAGTATGGGTCGGTGGCACGAAACCAGGCACGATCGCTTATATCGGCGAGACTAAATTCGCTCCTGGAGATTGGGCAGGAGTCGTCCTGGACGAACCCATCGGTAACTATCCTAATCAATCGTAAGATCATGAATCAATTTTGAGGACTTTGAACGAGGACTTTGAATCGAGAGTCACACTTAAAAAATTTTAATGAACCTTTCCTAACGAATTATCAAGATCATTCAGATCACGTTGTAATTGAAGAGCCCATTAATATAAGAAATCCCATTAATTGCGAATGAATGAATCAGAAAGTTTTCCGATTGACAAAGACAAAGATATAAAGTGGAAAAGATCGATGAAGTTCAGGAAAAAAGTGAAGGTGAACTTCAGATTCCTGAATCTTGAACTTCAGGAAAGAATGACGGTTCGGTGGCGGGTAGCCGGTACTTCCAATGCGAGCCAAAGAGAGGGATTTTCTCGAGGCTCACCAGACTCACCAGGTCACCGCTGGGCGATCACCAGACGAGCATGATCATGACTCCTACGACGCCGCCCGATAGCACCAGGGGTGGCCTCTTCAGCAAATCCATGTCGTCGTCATTGAGTAAGGATCGCTACAAGAGATACTCGCCACGTCCGTAGACTTTTAATTAGCGCTGCACACACGAACGCACGCCGAACACTGTTCACAAATTTTATTTAATTTCTTTACCTTAACCCTTTTGCCTCTTTTACCGTATAATTTAAATATGACGAGCAAAATATTTTGCAAAACTATAAGTTAATTTCATTCAGACAATGAATCTTATATAAAGTAGGATATGTAATATCCTTTTTTTTTTTAAACAGAATACCACTGGATTTATATAATTTAGATATTGACATTATTTAATATTGAAAAATTCTTGGATATTTAAATTTATTTGCGATATAAAAACAAAAATATATACGTGATTTCTTAATATATTATTTGTTTGAAAAAAATATTTTAATTTGCATATTGTAAAATAAGTATTTTATTAATAAGATTAATTATACAATATTATTTTATTTTATTTACTAAAATACTATTTGATATAGTTGTTATTAAAATTACAGAAAAAGGGGTGAAAGAGTTAATTAGTTATGCTGTGTGTAGAGACTTAGATTAGATAGTGCTTGAACATGGATTATTTTTAGTTATTTTTAATTATTTTAATTATTGCAATGCGATAGTGCTTGAAGAACGCTATTACGGAAAGTAAGCGCTACATAATTTTGTGTAAAAAAGAAAAGAAATAATTTATTTTTTTATTTAGCATGAAAATAATTTAGTTTTGGCAGCATGCAATAATATGTGTACGATTAAACGTGATGTAATATAAGATTTTTAATTTTTGAAATAAGTAGTTTTGCAAATAAAAATAGAAGCTTATCAGTAGAAACACTGTGTTTACAGAAGTATTTTTTAAATGGCAGAGCAATTTAATATTTTTTGGAAAAAGAGAGCAAAGAAGTTATCTATCTTGAAAATAACAAGATTTATTGATTGAAAGCACACCGAATAAACAAATTTACATATTTATAAAAAATTATTTTTGTTATTTTGTAGAATAGAGGAGCAACAGATTTTTTTTTGTGTACAATAAAGGGGAATATAGGAAATTATTAAGATTAAATGAACCTTAGATTTATAATAAATAAAGAATAAATATGACAAATATATAAAAATAGAGAAGGGATGTAACAAATTTTATATATATAAAATTTAGCTTTATAAGTATTTAGAAAAAGAAAGAAAAAGAGAAAATTTAACAAAAATTCTAGAAAATTTAGTTTTATTATATAAATGAAGAAGCTTAATTTTGATAGAACAGACTCAACTCGTCACTCGTGGTACCTTAAACGATATAAGTTATGTAATAATGATCGCGCATCGCTGAAAACTGTGAACGCAGATACATCGACGACGAGCCTATCGTCCACGAGGGGCGATCTGAGGATAGGTGACCGAGTGATCGTGTCATCGAGCCAGGGTAGCAAAACCGGCGTGCTCAGATATCAAGGCACCACCGAATTCGCCGCGGGCGAATGGTGCGGTGTGGAACTGGACGATCCGATCGGCAAGAATGACGGCTCCGTCAATGGCAAAAGGTGTGCATCGAATGCAGGGAAAAAAATATATGCCTCCCCCCCCTCCCCCCAAAAAACATCCATTTTTTTGCCCCCTTTATCAAATTCGTTTCTTCCACGTACCTTCCGTTATGTAAAACAATTTTGAAATTTTCAGCCACTTCAAGTTTCTTCTTCTCATTTCTCACAGCTTATATATCGTATTTAATTAATCACTAATAAATGTTATCCCTCTCTAATATAAAATCAAAGAAATCCTTAGAAGAAAAAAAAATCGATTTATATTATATTTTTAAAGTACTGCAAAAGAAGGATTGTAATTTCGTTAATTCTCTATTAAAACTGCAATTTTGCTTTCCGAGCTTTTCGACTCCCCCCCCCGATCCCAATGCTCTCGGGGGGATTTTCAAAGTCCTTCTTTTTAATCCAATTAGCCGAATTCGCTGAATGACGCGCGAAACGTTCGAACGTTCGGAATGCGTCGAGGGGGATAATTCGCATAATCTCTCCCATATGCCTTACGACTCGCGTTCCTGAAATCCCGCGGAACTAACCCACCCGTTGATCCAGATACTTCGAGTGCCCGCCCAAGCACGGTCTGTTCGCGCCCGTGCACAAGGTCAGCAAGTCACCGTCCAGCAAGAGGCCGTCCATATGCGTGGTGCACAAGCCAACGGGTGCAGCTCTCAATGTCTCTAGCCTCCAGAAGAAGAGCGGCTCGCGCGAGTCGCTCGCCTCCAGCGTCTCCTCGAGCGTTGCCAGCGCGAGAATGAGCACGACGAGCGGCACCACGACGAGGGTAAGGTTCACCATGCCGGAATAAGGGGATGAAAGGACATCCGCAGCCATCGCCAGTCTTGTTGGCTTCCCACTTACCTAGTTTAGTCGTAGAACTTGTTGTTGCTGCCCTTGTCGTTCTCGTTGGTGCTATTGGTTGCAATTGGCCCTTAAGTCTTCTTTGAAGAATCTTCTTTGAATGAGAGGCTCGACTTTGACTTTGATGTTGTGACGAAAAACACAACGATGGCACGAGGGATGTTATTGAAAGATTCGATGCGATGAAGTTTTTATCGGATCGAAGAAACTGCAAACAGCTGCGAAAAATTTAAATGTACACGAAAATCATGAAGAACGTTTGATAAAAGTGATTTAAATATCTTGAATTATGTATAAAGCGAAATTGTTTCTATTCTTGCTATTTTTTTCTCCTTTATAAAAGAGCTTATCTTTATACGAAATTTTTTGAATGAAATTATAAATTCTGGTTTTTATAAACCGACGATTTAAACCCTTCGTTTAATCTATTAAATGTTTCTTTTTTATGGAATCGAATTATGGACCTCGGTCTCTTCTCGCATCGAATTTTCTGTGTAAACCTTCTTTTTGAAGTTACTTAAGGGTTAATTTCGCCGTAAATTATATAGTCATTGCTCGCCGCTTTTTAAGCAGCCTATTTTTTATTTTTGACACTGACCTCTTAATCAAAACTGTTGTATTTTAGTATGCGTGATTTTGTGATTGGTGCATTAATTATTATTTAAGGTTGTTGCCGAAAGATTGCACGATTTTATCTTTATTTATTTTTTTTTCTCTTGTGTTTCCGTTATGTGCCCGATATTCCAGAGGCCTGGCATGCGCACGTCGACACCTGCACGAAGTTCATTGCAGGTGAGACCATAACTCTGTTAGAACTCCTGATTAATTAATTATCCTCGCCAATTAGAAGCGATCGCCGATAAGCCATCCTGCGATTCTCCCATCGACCGGTCCCAATTAGTTCGTACACCCGGTAGAATGACGGTAGATGTAGATTAACAAGCGCATTGCGACGCGAATGTACGTTAATTAGGATAATTAGCGAGACGATTGGCTGATTAGCGAAACTCGACCGAGCGATCGTTAACGATTGCCGATCACAATTTTATTTATCTATTATTCGTTAATTTATTGTTATCGTTCGTTGCATCGTCGAAGCTTATACATAGCGATCTCTGTACATAATGTTAATAAAATTTCACGTACTCCTTCCTTGTAATGTCCTTTGGCTTCTAGGTGAGTATCTTTTATTCGTCGTTTTACATGCAGCAATTAACAAATCGTCGTTATTGCGTTCGATTTTTCAATTCTCTCTCATAATATTGCGCGAGAGATTATCTCGGCTGCTCGATTAGCTAATTCATCTCCGAGAATTTTCCGTGGCATAATTAGACGTTTGTCCAACTAATATTTGCGTTGGTGGAAAAATGACGACCAGCATCATCGAACCGATTAATCAAACCTCGCCGCCGTCCGGTAATATTATTTAAAATGTTCACTATTCATTTGTATTGCTAATCGTGTATGATCGATTCGGAACGTTGTTTATATATCTATGATTACTTCGTATTCATTTAAAAGCATAAACGACGACTGCACGATCTTGGCAAATTGCAGAATATATATATTGCATAATGCGGAATGCCATGTGAATTGACAATTGATTGAAAGATTTTTTATACTATTGACGGTTAAACGAAATTTCATGTAGTTCTTATTTGATAGCCAACATAATATCTAAAGTAAAGAGCCGATAATCGCGTTGTATCGCTAATTTATTTTGTTTGTGTTTTGCAAAAATAAAATCTCGATTATTTATATCCCATTCCATAACATTTTTCAAGAATGTATTTTAACGTAGGAAAATTAACAAATGCTTGATTTGGAAATTTGTTTTGTTGATTTATAATAATTTGTACGATGCAAACGAGAGAAACCTTCTTACTTTATCTTAGTCCGAACAACTGTTACAAAAAATGTACAAAGTAAGAAATTGAGATTCAAATTATTTTAGTAAGCTTCTTTTCTTTAATAATTTTGTCATGTAATATAAAATATTTTATTACAAATTATAGTAATATTATTAAATATGAAATTATAATTGATTATACTTTCATCACCGCGTTATTACCGAGATTTCCTTTTCTTTCTCACAATCCTTTTCTTTTTTGAAATTTTTTTGCGTTATCGCAACATGAAATTAGAGCCTAGGTCGTACTTTTAGGAGGTTTTGAAAGAGAAGCAGCAGGAGATCGAACTTCTGCGAAAAGAGCGAGATTTGGAACGTGAAAGAGTCACCAAAGCGGCAAATCAAGCTGATCAAGCGGAACAATCGGCACTTTCGATTAAGCAAGAATATGAGAAGGTATATATTCGACGAAGACAAATCAAAATCGTGACGATAAATAAATTTTCAAATAGGGACAAATATCTGGAGTCACGAAAATATGGAAATATCACATCTCATTTTTCATATTTTTTTCGTATTTTTTGTTTTCACTTAGGGAATATATATAATGAATTAAGATATTTTGCTCACTAATGTATTAAATCAAACGACATTGATCTTTAAATTCTGAAGTTTTGTCCCAGTTTCGAAATTTTGGTCTCATTTCTCACTTTTTTTTTTCTCGACATTTTCACCATTGATGTTTAGTACCGCGAGCAGATGCAACAAGCGGTCAGCGAGGCGGAACTCATGGTCACCAAGCTTCTCAATGAGAAAAGTGCATTGATAGTGCAGCTGGAAGATGAGAAACGGAAATGCGAGGATCTCCTGTTTCGTTTCGAAGAGGAATCCGTGAATAAAGATGACATACAGGTACGTGCATTCACATTAGCACATCAGTTTTATACAGTTCAGATAATCATTTATCTCAAGCATGATAAATGAGTATTCCCTTAAGATAAAAGAAATATTTAGAAATGCCAGTAAGTATTAATTCATGCTACTATTTTAGTATCAATAATAAGAGTTACATAAAATATTTCAGAAAATGTGATTTTATTATAGATACATTTTTTCATGAATATCTCGTAGAATTGATATGAGAGAGAATTTTGCGTGATATTTTTAGATGCTTTATAAAGAGAAATAATTTTTACATTTTAGTTCTATTATTCTGATTTCTTCAAATATACATTGTTTCTGTTTTATCATAATTATCATAAATAAAATTTCATTCGCAACATGAGGAAATGGTGTTATGTACTATTCGAAACAAATTATTATATACGCTTTTATCGTAAAATGCGGTACACACGGGATAACGGTGGCGGGTGATGTACGTTACAAATTTACACGTGCTTAGCTACATCAACTTGGCGAAAAGCTCGAGAATTAGCGTAATAACTTTTAACACAAAGTTCAGAAATATCCCGTTATACACAATAAATTATTTCAAAATTCACATGTAAATGTACATTAATTACAATTTTCGATTTATATTGACACCAATAAATAAAAATTATACGAACTTGGCGAAAAGAGACACAGATTCTGAATTATTCCGGTTGCGTATTCTATCAAATTTTTACTTGAATAATTTTTAAAGAAAAAAAAAAAAGAAAAAAGACCCTGATATTTTTAGGGAGAGAAGAGAACACATTCAGTTCTTCGGTTAATCCGGCAAACTTATCATTTATTTTCAGAAAGAGAGATCTGAGCAAAGTGTGAGTATCTGGTTCGGGCCCGTGGAAGGATTGACGCAGTATTTTGGCACCGCTTGTCTAATCATCACTCTAGCCATGTCATTTTGCATTTCGTCGCAGTTCTATCAGAGATTCGGCTGACGTGGAACGCGCAAAAAAAAAAAAAGAGAAACGCTAAGAAACGCTATCGTTAACTAACTTTGCACCGGGCATACTACTAACAAAACTAAATTGTACACCTAATTACTAAACGCTAGATATTTGCTTGTTAATCACGTGCTGACTTGGAAGATGAAAGTGCGCGTGATAGTTGCATCGAGCACTTTTGAAATTGTACAAATTTTTCATTTATGAATAATTTCGTTTGTCGCGATTTTAATTTTATATATAATATATAGGAAATTTGGTTTGAAAATCTGGTTAATTAGTTTACGCTTTACTGTTGTGTAACTGAGTAACAAAAGCTTCACAAATTACTCACGCTTTATATGCACAAAGATATATATATATAGAGCTAAAAAATATTGTAGGCGTGATATATTTGTATGTCTATTTATTTATTTATTCATTTATTCATTTATTTATTTATTTATTTATTTGTTTATTCAATGCGTTGTATTAATTTGATCGCTTTTTGTATATTGCAAAGTTATTTATATTACTTAATTAATCTTTTCAATTGTTTATGGTATATGTTTGTATGCACGAATGCCAAAATTGAATAATATGTTTTTGCAAATTGGGCACACGCGTAAAATTATTGATTTATTTTCTTTTTCTCTCTCCATCCAATAAAATACATTTCAACAATCATTGTGCTTCGCATATCCGGTGTGCTTTCTATTTCATAATATACACGCTTTCGGGTATTAACACATTCGTTATTTCCATAATTACTGAAAAAGATTAAAATTATATTTTTTTATCTCATTTGAAAGTTATTTTATTTGCTACAAGCTTGTAACAATTTAGATGTAAATTTTAATAATTAAAATCATATGTCATGTAATTTATTTTTTCATGACACATTTGTTTTATTTTAGTATAAAAAATTGTGCAACAAATTTATATAATAATTATTACATAATTTATTATATATATTATAAAATATTATAAAAAATATTTTATAATAATAGATAACTTTGCTTAATTTATTAATCTTTATTTAATAGAAAATATGCAATTTACAAGTTAAGTAAAAAAACTTTCTGTAAAATAAATCCCAATTATTATTTTACATTTTTCGTAATTAAGGAAATGATCATACGTTAATACTTAGAACGTAAACTCACTGTGTATGATTTGATTCCCCTTTAAAGACTAAGTTGTCCTTATCATAGGTCATAAATACTGTAAATGAAAGCAGGATCAAAGAGCTTGAAGACGAACTCGCAAAAGAGAAGCAAGAGCGAATCGATCAGATGGAATGCGACAGCATCAAACTTTTCGAGACTGAAGAAGAATTGGCGCGATTGCGTAACGAGATCAGTTGCGCGACGAACTCACAAAATTCTCAGCTTCAAGGTAGAATATAATATTAAGAATAGAACTAATCTATGTATAATTAATAAAATAGATTCTAAATCTCCTAATTTGATTTACGCAACTTTTGCGTAATTCTTTTTATCTTGGACTTTTAGATCTGGAGAGCCGTAATCAAAGTTTGGAAGAGATTAAGAGCAGTCTGGAGAAAGAAGCGCAAGAGAAATCGAGTCTAGTAAACGAATGTGTGGAACGCATTCGAGAATTAGAACTTGTGGTGAGTAAAACGCAACAGGAGAATACGACGCATAGGGAATGCGAGAGTCGTCTAGAAAAAGAATTGCAAGCTGCGGGACAAAGTTTGCAAGACAAGGAGTCATTGATGGAGAATATGAAGCAGGAATTTGAGAAAAACACGAGTGTGTTGAACGAAGAGTTGCGAAAATCGAGAGAGACGATCGAAACGATGAAGAGAGAGAACGTAAGCGAAAAGAATTCGCTGTTGTCGGAGTATCGACAAACAATCGAGGAGAGAGATCGGTTGATAAAATTAAAGACTGAGGAGCTCGAGAACGAGTCCAAGAGATTATTAGATCAGCAGAATGCAGCTTTGGAGGGCTTGAAAGCCGAAAATGATAACCGTATCCGGGAACTTTCAGAATCTTTCGAGCAACAGTTGCAGGCAAAAAATTCGAAACTCGAGGAGTTCTCGCAGCAACTCAGTCAAAAAGTATCCGAAACCGAAAGACTGTTGGCCGAATTGGCCGCTGAGCGAGAACTCTGTAAAAAGAAGGATGAAGAATTAATTAACGCTCTACGAAAATTAGAAGGTTTGTTCTAACAGCGAAAATTACATAAAACATTCGTTTAAGAAAATATAAAAAACTTAATTTTCCTTAATTTTTATTCTATAATCTGGCATTTAATTTATTATACAAATTTTTGTGCTTTTATTAAAATATGTAATAAAATAAATTAAAAGTTGTATCTTGATTGTATTATGCATATTTTACAGAACTAAATACGAAGCTTAAATTAGCCGAAGAGAACAACAACGTGTTGTCAAAACAAATTCAAGACTACAAGTCTAAGAGTGACGATAATGTCAGAATTATTCATGAGAAGCAAAAGTTGGTAAGTACTTTTTTTTTATTTCGCGGAAATGTAGCATTTGTGATTTTGTCTTCACGCTACGTGATCAATTCAGGAGCAAGATCTAGCTAGTTTGATCGCTTCGGAAGAAAAATCCACAGCGCAATTAAATAAATTGAACGAGGAACTTAAAGTGAAGGACAAAGAGCTGGCGGAGTTACGAAATGCTACTGTGGCTCAGATAAAAGAAATAACTAAACGTTTCGAGGCACAAATTAATGACAAAGTCAAGTGTATTGATGAGATAAGCGCAGATGTCGCTCAGAAAGCTTTGTTGCTCACTAAACTGGAAAAGGATATAGCTGATTTAAAGGCGATTATAGCAAGTAAAGATGAAGAGATTAAACATCTTCTTGAAAAAACTTCAGGTAAAATCAAACGCACGCTTATGCACACACAAGAGTTTGGAAGAAATACATTTCAAAGAAATTAGATTTGAAGTTTTTGCTTTTAATTTAAATTTATAAAATCAAATATATAAACTCGTTTTAATCTTTTTAGAATTACAAGACGCCCTCACGTTATCCGAACAGACGAAAACAAATTTAGAAAGTGAACTTCGCGTATTTGAGTTGAATGTACAGAATTTGAATCAACAAGTTGCAAGAACGGAAGAAAAAATATCACAACTCTCATTGCAGAAGGAAAAATTGGTTGGTATAGGATAATTAGTCACCAATTTATTAGATTAATGTTGTAAATTTAATTATAGGAATCCGATATAGCGAACGCCATTAGCACTTCCGCCGATTCGTCGGAACAGTTGTCGAGATACAATGAAGACTTGCGAAAAAAAGAGAAGGAATTAGACGAAGCTCGCGAAAAGATTTTTCAAACAGAAGCTGCATTGAAGCAAACGGAAGGAAAACTGTCCAATATTGAAACCGAATTAAATAAGAATACGACATTAGTCGAGCAATTGCGCTTTGAGAAATCGAACTTGGAATCACAAATAGACAAGGCTAAAAAATTGAACGCTGACTATATCGAGAAAATACACGAATACGAACAAGAAAAGAGCGAATTGTTAATAAAAGTACAAGAAGGTAATCGCACAAAGAAAAGTTTAGAGGAAAAATCTGTTGAAATCACTAATCTTACAGAGCGACTGACGAAGAAAGACGAAGAAATCGCCAATCTTCGTACAGGAAACGAAACTTTGCAAAAATCTCATGAAGAAGAGATATCTTTATTGCAGAAAAAAGTTGCGGATTTATCAAACGAATCGGTGAATTTGCACGACGAGATAAAAAATTTGCAAAAGTCTAAGAACAAATTGGAGGCTGATCAAAGCGCGAATCGTTGGTCAATCGAAGAATTAACAGAAAAATTGAAAGTTGAATCAGACAGAACGTTGAATTTGGAAAACTTAATTCAGAAGAAAGATTCAGAGTTTCGAAATGTAGAAAATAAGCTATCGGAATTACAAAAAATACATAACGCCTTAATTAACGATAAAGCGACTACCGATAAGAATTTGACGTCTTTAAAGACCATGACTACCGCAATGGAAGAGTTGAAAAACAAATTAAAAGAAGCCGAGGGAACAATTAAAGATAAGACAGATGAATTATCAAAGACAAGAACGGAAGCAGAAAAGTCGCTCACTCAATTAGCCGAGTTGAAGGCTATAATCTCTTCCATGAAAAAAGAGCATACTCGAAATAGCAATGAACAGAAGAGTGCACAAGAAGCGATCACGCAGAAACAAAATAAAATAGATGAATTGTTCGAAGTTAAGACAGTGCTAGAGAATTCAGTGAAATCATTGGAGATTGAGTTAACGAATTTGCACGAAGAAATGAGCAAAAGAGAGAAATTGCGGACAGAAGCAGAAATTAAGATGAAAGAATTGGAGAGTTCCAAGAAGGAAGAAATACTAAAACTTCGGAATTCTTTAGAGTGCGAAATTACAGCAAAGGAAAGAAAAATTGAAGACGTAAATATGCAAAATGAAGATTTGCAAAAGGAGCTACGATTGTCGCAAGATGTTGTCAGTAAACACAAAGCTGACTTAGATGAGAAGCAGATTATTATTGATAAACTAAAGTCACAGGTGAAGGTCCTGGAAGACGCGCAAGTGGAGAGAGTTAAAGCGGAACAGCAATCACGAAATGAGGAAATCAAATTGAAGCAGAATGAATTGAGCAGTGCGAATAAGCGAATCCACGAGCTGCAGCATACAGTGAATGTGCTCGAGAAGCAGTTAAAAGAACAGGAAATGAGATCGGCCGATTTGGCGAGAACCATGGAAAACAACGAGAAGGAAGTAAACAAAAACGTGCAGAATTTACAAGAGAAGCTGAATATCGCCAAGGTGGAAGAGACTCGGCTTCTGGACGAACTTAGTCGACTGGAGAAAGAGAATAAGCAAATTACCGCGAAATGGATGGAAGTGACGAATCAACTGAAGTTATCGCACGAGAATCTAAAGAACACCTACGACGGGACGGGAGACATGAAGCAACGCATCGTCGTGAAGGATATCGATGTCGTCAAACTGCAGGAGGAGAACGATACCGCGAAAAGCCAGATAGACTTCCTAAACTCCGTGATAGTCGATATGCAGCGTAAAAACGAGAATCTACTGTGTAAGATCGAGGTTCTCGAGATGGGAGTCCCCGCAAACGAAGCCGAAGATTATACTCGAAGCACGCTGAACAAACGAACCGCGGCGCCTCGTATGTTCTGTGATATTTGCGATCAGTTCGATTTGCATGAAACGGAAGACTGTCCCCGACAGGCCCAGGATTTCACGGAGAGCGTCGAGAGAGTGGCGAAATCTTCGAAAAAGCAATCCGTGGAAAGGCCGTATTGCGAGAATTGCGAAATGTTCGGACACGATACGCGCGACTGCGATGACGCCGAGACATTTTAACGTTTCATCATTGTCCGTAGCCTTGTTCCGTTTGCTTGCCAAATATCCCATAGCTATAAAGAGATCTGTTAAATTTTACAGAGTATATTTTTGTATGCCAGATTTTTCGATTAAATTCTAAATCCGAGCATGAGTCTTCCCGCATAAAATGGGCATACCCGAGAAACACTAAAAATTTATGTTCCCTCCAAATGGTGGAATTTAATCAAAATACATCTTATTTAAGAGTATTCAGCAATTTGTATAATTATCCTAATATTATTTATTCTTTATTTAATTGTAAATTTTTTAATTTATTTTTAGCACAATTATAATCACAGGGTTAACAATATGAAAATTTATAAATTATTTTGATCTTTTCTATATTAATTAAATTATACCAAATATGTCTTTTATTCTCTTAATTTAATTGTGATTAAGAAGAAATGAAAAATAATCATTTTATCGACACTCAGACAATGATAATTTATTTTTTATTTAAAAATGTGTTTGAAGGGAACATATATTTGTTTTCTAGCTTTAACATCTATTTTAATTATCTATATTAATATTTGTGGCGAGTTATATAATATAATTTTGTATATATTAGATATTTAAATTGACCAGTTATCCCTTTTCTATTTAATATTTATTTTCCGTGTTTGCGCGCTTAAAAGAATACAGTTCCTGCAGTGCACGCTAATAAGAAGCAGAATATTGGCTATTTCGATAATTAATTCATACTTCTTTCAAATATGATATCTTCTCATAATACACTCTGATGAGAGGTTCTTTATCTAATTCTTCGTCTAATAGGAAGAAAAAAATCAAAATATATATCGTCTCGAAAAATTTTGAAATTGACTTACTGAAATATCGTGGCCTGCTGTTATCTTGCCTTTCGTTACGAATCTTAGGGTTCAAGTATATTTTTTAAGTCAATTATATTGTTGTAACATATGATGCATTAAAGGTAATGCTTTGTAGATAAGAATAAACAAAATGTTCACGCGAAGTGATTGTAGATCTATAAATCCCTTTATTCTTGGATATTCTTTTTCTTTATTTTTTTTTTTTATTATTAATTATCAATTTTAGGCTAAAGACTTTTTCTTCTTCAATCAAAATTTAAATTCTTGTCTATATATGAATTAAATTTTATTATTATTTTAAAGAAACGTGCGTGTGCGTGTGCGTGTGCGTGTGCGTGTGTGTGTGTGTGTGTGTGTGTGGGGGGTGGAGTGGGTGGATGGGTGGGTGGGTGGGTGGGTGTGGGTGTATATATATATATAGAAACACACGTTTATATATATATATATATAAACATAATTGTAAATGATTATACTTTAATCATGTGTGGATCTTAAAAATATCAAATCTGTATCTTTTAAATTATCAGCATTTGTTAAATTTTTTCTCGGTTATTGAGATAAATTTTTCTTCGATTTCTTTCTACTTGCTCGTTTTTTCCTGTCGACTAAACGTTTCAGGTTTCATCATAGAATTATATATGATTTATAGGATTCATAAGATTTTTACGGAAATTTTTTATTTTAAATGTTCCACTAAGCAATCTGTTTATCATTGTAAGTTTTGCCAAAGAAAGCTTTTCTTATAGTTCTAGACAAATTGTAATATGAAATAAATGAAAATGTCGTCTAAAAATTATATCTTTCTAAATATTTAATATTTATGTTATATTTATATATAAATTATTTATATATAAATAAAAAAAACCGCAAGCTCTAACTACGATCGTAAATTGTCATTAGATATATCTATTTTTAATATTTAATATTTGATATTTAATATTTGTATTTTACACATTTTGCGATCTGTATTTAAGAAATTGATGAAATTCTTTAGGATTTAAAATTATATAATATTAGATTTCTTGATTTATCTTTACCAAATCTTCATAGAAAAGGAACTTAATCTACCTTAATTTAATCTACCTTATTGTTCAAACTTTTTTTACATGTTCCCAATATGATTCAAAAGCAGTTGAATTTACAGAAAGTATAAATAAGTTTTAGATATTATAAAATTTTAGGTATTATATATATAATTGAACGAAGAGAAATAAATTGAAAATTTATTGGGTTTTTGCGAAATTTATTATGATTGTTCATGAATTGATCACAACATTGTTCGAAAACCGGTTCAGTAAAAAAATACGAGCAATTTTCGATGATCTAATCACGTTTGTTTTTACTTTTTGAATTTATATATGTAAATTTTAGATAAATGCTTATCTATATCGCCAGCCATGTATCGTCATTTTAAAAAATGTAATTAGACAAAGAATCTACAAATCTCAACTACTGGTTGGAAAAACCAAATCCGAATCCTTCAAATTGTCAGCGATCCATTTGCTGAATTTTTCCTCGATTTCTGGTGTGAACATCTTTTTCCAACCACCCGTTGCTCCCTGGCGAATAAACGCTTCCGGTTGTATCGCAAGGCCGGGACTCGCTTCATTTACCATAGGATTTTTACGAAAGTTCTCTATTTTTAAGTGCTCTATCAATTTGGCGATCATCTCATCATTATAACTTTTACCGAAGAATACAGCAACTTTTTTGATGGTTCCAGGTAAATCCTGTACGAGATAGAGAGAGAATATTAATTTTAAGATTATAATATCCTTATATTATAAATGTACATAGTATTTCTAATCATGGATGCTATATTTCTATTATCAAATATATAATTGCTTCTAGATTTAGCAGTTATAATTAGTTATCTAAATGACATTTCAAATTTTCAATATACAAGTTAAATTAATGCATTAATTTTGTTGATAAGTAAATAAAAATTAAGAACGTTAATGAACATAATAAAATTTTTTAATGCTATTTTATGAAAAAAATCTAGATAAATGATTCTGTTTATTATTTATATTTGAATTGTATTTTATTGAATTTATGACTGATTTTAGAAATTAACATTGCGATCTGTACGTATATATTATTATAATTATATTAAAAAATATCTTCTTGAAAAGGATAATCAGGATGTAATGTTTATTTAAACAGTAGAAAATATTGTACATTATGTATATTAATAATATTTAAAATTTCAAAAATTTTAAATCTTGCTATATAAAACTGTTCAACGATAAAATTTCTGTCTATCTCACCTTTATTATATCTTCATAAAAGAGAAACAACATATTTGCTCTATTTTGTCTTATCGCCCAAGCTCCTTTTACATGTTCCCAGTACGGACTCCATTGCGCTGAAATTGCGAAAGATTGGCTCTTAAAATATTAACTAAGAAAAAAGAAATTAAACGAAAAAGATTCATTGACATTTTAAATAATATTTACTGTGATTATTCATGAAAAGATCGCAGAACTGCTCGAAAGTTCCCTGGTATTCGAAATGTATTATGTTCTTTTGGAAATTGTACCACGAAACCATTACGTCTCTTGGATTTCTTGCGACATATATGATCTGAGAATAAAAAAAAACATTTCTGAAAAGTGTTACTTCGATATAAAAAAAATTGAGATTTTTATTTTTTTATGTACCACTTTGATATACTATAAATTTAGATAAAAAATTGTTCTGGGATATTATTTAAAACAGCTGAATGCTACAACACTGAAATTTATATAAATAATAAATTTTTTGAAAGTTTGAAATGAAAATTTCTAGAAAAAGAGTATTTAATTTGATTTTGTAATCCGTTTGTTAAATCTTTTCTTTTTAAAAGCAATATGTACAATATAGTATACGTTTATATAGTATATATTTAATAATTTATGAAATATTTGATTGTAAATACACCTTGCACGAGCTATTTAGGACTGTTGGCAACAGTTCGAGAGGCATATGACTCTTGATGAAACGCGGAGATGGCTGTTCTTGCACAAATTCAATGCTAGTTCTTTCCGTATTAATTCTGTCAGGAATATCTTTCACTACGATATGGCTGTCTAATATTGCTCCTATCCTAAAAAGAAAAAGAATTTTTTTTCTAATAAAATTGCTTTTTAATTTAGGATATATAATATTATTTTATTATCATTCATAAAAAGATATAAAATAGTAATTAAGAATTTTCATATTTTCTTTTAGATTCTTTTTCCAAAAGATTTGATCTTATTCATTTTGAGTAAATAATGTACATAGCAAAAGAAATATTTTAAACGCATTCGTTATCAGTCTTTAAAATGAAATTTAACTGAAAATTTTCGTCGCTCTTTTTGTGAGAAAATTTTTCTCTAATAATGTAAAAAATACGAATATCATATAAGAAGAAAAATCGCATTCTCTACTTTTTTACTACACATATATATACATGTTATACTGTACTCTACAAAAGGAAATCTCTCTAATAAATGTCTTCGACGTGCTTCATCAAAATTCATGTCATTCGCCACCAGCCATATAAGTTCTTGCGTCACCGTTGTACCTAATCGATGCATAAATGAATTTAATTAATCAGATAATATTCAGAACTGGTTGCTGAAAGAGAAACTTAATTAGCCATAATAAATAAAAAATTAATAAAAGAATAAATTTGATTACAACTTTGAAAGTACTTATCTTGTAAAAGATTTCTATTTTCACGAAATTGCTTCTTAAAAATTACAAAGGTCAGCAAAATTATACGTGTAAAAAGGAAATTAATTATATAACAGCGAATTTAATAAAAGAAGAAGCAAAAAGATTAATTGCAAAAAAGTTTTTTTTCAAAGAAAAAAGAAGAAGATTAAAAATGGCAATACAAAATCAGCACCAACAATTTCATTAAGACTTACCTGTTCTAGGATGTGTAATGATCCACGTGTCATCTGGACGAGTCTCAAAGTTATATATTTTATCGCCGGTCTCGGTATATTTATAGGGCATGAACCATTTTTTCTCACCGATTTTAACAAATCCGCGTTTGTGAGGCGGATACATTTTTAATAGTTTGGCCGCCAACTCACCCTCGACGCGTTCCACTTTTAAATCTTTGAAATCCATGTTTCATTAACAGTCTCCTTGCTCGCGAAATAAAAATGATAATTTTTTTCGTGGATATGATTGGGGATAACAAGCTAATTACAGAAGGCAAAGTTTCACACAGAAATGTTAACACACAAGCGAACTTTTTCGTTCTGCGGCTGGACACGCAGATATGCTTGTTTAAATATGATGAAGTAAACATGGGTCCGATTGCAACGCATTCGTTATCATTCTTGGATGTATAAGTGATTACATTGATAAAAATGTTTCGATGAGATATAGAAGGATATAAATTAAGTACGTTATATATGTTAAATGGATATTTGATGATAATCAAATGACACATACAAGCTTATTGCAACATCGAGAAATATCTAATAAGAAGAAATAATCTAGTAAGAAGAAATATTTCAATAAATATCTTCTTATCTACAGCAGATTTATTATTAATAAAAAATTATAAATAAATCTTACCTTTTAATCAATTGTCAAAAAATTAATTTGACAAATGATAAAATTAATCGAGAAAATTAATCGAAAAAGAGAGATTTTATTAATATCTTATTGTTTTCGACATTATTTTTATTTTAAAATTAATCAATTGCATCATTCTGTTATGATTTTCTAAGTTAGACTTTGGATTGGAATAGAAATTTATGGTGGGGTATTATTTTTTTCAATTACAATCTTGCGTCCTTCCTCTTTTTATATCGCTTCAGTATTTTTAGAATTCTTTTATGATATTTGACGAGAGATAAGTTGATAATAAATGTTAACAAATGTTCTCACTGGATGATAAAATATTATTCTCGTCAATAAATGTTGTAAAATAAATGCTTCTAAGTACTGAAATGGAAAAAAATTCGTCGTGATTGAATACAA